CCTCCTCCTCCTCCTCCTCCTCCTCCTCCTCCTCCCGTCACTTCGCGACGATGTTGTACAATATGTCCGCGGAAAAAGAAAACGGGTCGTGGCGGTGGCGTTCTTCGATGCCGTGGTACAATCTGTCTGCGGAAAAAAGGGGTGCATGCCTCCGTCACTTCGATGGTGTCGACGTACAATTTTTTCTTCGGAGAAAAGGGGGCTTGCTGTGTGCGTCCATGCCGCAGTTGTGTGAGGCCCTTCGGGAGATGATTCAGGTCGTCCAGCAAGAGGCGCCATTTTTGCGCGGAGATTGAGGAACACCGCTTGCGGAGTTTTTGGCGTATAGTATTAGGCGACGGCGGTGGGGCTCACGCACGCCTGGAATTTTCGAGCCCTGTGAAGCCTCCGCCTTAGGAACGAGTGGGAGCCGCGTGGCGAGAGGGAGGAGCCCGCACTCATACGGCAAGCGCGTATGTTCTTCCTCCTCTCCATCTGGCTACCTCGACGCTCACCCCCGTCCCCTTCACCTTGACTGCGGTTATCCGTGACCGTTTGTGTGCTCTCATCATCCTGAATTTATTCCTGTGGCCCCCCCCCCCCCCCCCCCCCCCCNCCCCCCCCCCACGGAATTGCCGATGGCGATCAAGGTACGGGCTCGGACTTCGTCGATTTCGGAACGGGGGTAGCACGGGTAACGCGGACGGAGGTAAGGAGGCGACTACCGCGGCGGCGGCGGCGGTCGCTTCGGCTGCCAACGGCGGCGGCGCTAATGGCGGCAAGGCGGGGAGCGAGCGCGATCTCGGCGGGGCGGGGAGCGTCAGCCAGTGCTTCGAGCAAGTGCCGAGCATGTTTTTTGACAAGGAGTTCACCTTGCAGGTGTGTTGCTGTACGGAGAGAGGTAGGTGTTCGCGTAAATTGCAGGCACGTTTTTTGGTCGTGGCTGAGCAAACTGAGCTGCAGCATGTGTGGTCAACGATCGGAGGACGAAAAGGTTGGAAGCTTGTTGAGTACACCTCCCGGTAGCCCTTGATGCCAATAGTGGCATGGCGTGACCATCTCTGTCGAAGTAGATTCGACCCCTCTCGCTGTATCTGTCTGTCTCTCTCTTTCTCTGTGTGACTCTCTCTGTGGGTGTCTCTCTATCGGTCCGTGTGTGTCTCTGTCCGTCTCTCTCCCCTATCCTTATCCTCTCTCGCGCCCCTTTCGTATCCTAAACTAGGAGGATTATTATTTATTCTTGCCTCCCACGGTGCTGCTACTGCTGTCTGTCCCTCATGACCCCCCCTGCCCACCATACTTCCGTTCGTTCCTTCGGTTCGCCGGGGGAACGAGAGAGCAGGACCCCGCGGTGTTCGAGTCGGCGGTGATGGCGGCGGGGGCGGAGCAGCCGGAGCGCCTGGCGCACTTCCTCGACCTCGTGGAGGTCTGCTTGCTCAAACAGATATCCCATCGGTAAGTGAGGGAGGGAGGGGTGGGGAGGCGGGGCTTCCTGGGCTCAAGACAGGTATCTCGCGTTGAGGGTGACGGAGAAAGACAGGGTGCATATCGGGTGTCGAAAAAATAGACAAGTTGAAATATATTGATTGTTTTTGCACAGCGCTGTAGCAAAGGAAATGGTACAGCATCGAAAAATAATGTGATAGCAGGCAACATCATGTATGAAATGTAAAATTCGCGATCTTTGTCGTAGGTCCGACGCCTTCTTTGAGGGGCTGAAAACCAGCCAGGATCTTCAGACGCATGTCACCGGCGCTTGCACGACACTCTACCAGCTCAGGTGAGACGCGCAGGAGCGATCGGGGAGGGGCGGGGAGGAGTAGGCGATACGGTGTTGGCGTTTGGCAACCAAAGTCATCAACGAAACGATTCAATTCCTACCCTACCCAAATTGTCTCTTGTACCACCTTGATTGTGGTAAATACGAGGACACCAATAGAGGTTTGTGAAGATACCGTAGTAAGTAAGATGTCCACGCTCGTGCGTGTTCAATCCACGGGTATACGCTATCTTGGCGAGAGACCGCGAGCTGTTTTAACGTTTTCATACCCACAAAAGCCTTACGTATCACCCCGGCCTTTCAACAACACGCGCACACCCCGCACCGTGAAGTTTTTTGGCATTTTGGCGTATCCACCCTCCGACGGCCGCTTTTTTGCTTCCCCTGTTTTCGTCGTCTGCCGCAGAGAATCGATGCGTTGCATGGAGAAGGACGTACTCGCGGGACCGATGCGCGTACCCCAGCTCCAGAGGCGCAGGAGCAACCTGTCGTCTCTCGAGGCTACGCTGGAGCTTGTCGCCCGGGTGCAGCAGTCTCAGGCGGCTATCGAGGTGTGTAGGCTGTGTTGGTGTGTGATTGAACGTTCTGGTCGTGTACCGCAGGTGACGTAAGTTGTCACACTCCTTTGGACCGACTTCTGGAGCTCGGTTTCAACAGCGCAGAAAGGAGTGGCGGTGCCAAAAATGGCGGCGTTGGAGCCGTCTCGTCGAAAGCTTCATAAGCTTGAGCGGGGTTAGCCCTGATGGTCAAATTGTGTAGCAGGAGGCCGTAAGTTTGAAATTTGTTTCCTCATGAGATTCGACACCAAGACATACGTGCCCAGTTGCTTCGTGACTGCAAAAAACAAAACAGCGCTTGCTCGCCAATCGCTGTACATACATTACACCCCGTGTGCGTTCGCGCTTACGCCAGGGACTTCTAGCAGCGGAGGACTACCTGGGGGCGCTGGACATCCTGCAGTCGGCCAAGAGCACCGTCAAGAACGAGCTGGGGAAGCTGCACAGCCTCAGGAACGTCGGCCGGCAGCTCAAGGAGTACGAGGAGCTGGTATCCGGCCTCCTCAGCAACCGCTTTGTGGCGCTGGCGGTAACCATCCCCGTCGACGTTGTCGGCTCCACCGCCGCAGGCGGCGCTGCGACCGGAGGTAGCGGTAACGGTAGAGATGATCCCGCCGCCGGCTTGTCCTCCTGGGAGACTGCTGCTGCCGCCGACCACGACGGCGGCGATGCCGCCACCAACGGTAGAGGGGGGGACGCGGGGGGGGCGATTAGCGCCGGGGGTGACGAGCTGCGGCGGGACCTTGAGCTGGTGGTGCAGGGGCTGCTGCGGTTGGGGGAGATGGAGAGGGTGCTCGGGATCGTCCAGGATAGGGTCTCGGAGGACCTCAAGTTGATTATTAGGTGAGCTTATGCTTCGGGAGGGGGGGGGGGGG